CCTGTCTCTCTCACACCTGAAGAAGGCTCCACGTCCGAAACGTTCTGTTCTCTTTCTTCTTTTTTTCAGCATGGAATAAACCTATTACTTGTTCCTTTGCAGCCTACGCATGCTGACGCAGCTACCCACCTGAACTATCTCTTGTATATTGAAAGCCTGGGTTCTGGCTGTGACGATAGATGATTCAGTAAGTATTTCTGACTTTATCATCCCTGAAAACAAATATCCCAGGAACCTTTCCAACAACTCATCTTCGTGTTCAAGGTGTTCTACCATCCATCAGCCTTCCTTAGGGCTGCTATGGAAATCAATTGAAATGAGACATTTCTTGAAGGCACATGACATATGGCACGAATATTTCCTCCTGCCCCTGTCCTTCATACTATATCAAGATTTCTGCTGCCGAAGAAATGGAATCGGCCATTTTTTACCTTAAGAGCACTCTTCACTATTGATATTTCCATAACAGTCATCTTCACATTTTTTTCAGAATGACAACCAAATTTCTCTCTGAATTATGCAAACTGTCTGTAAAAACACATAAAGAACTTGGCACTTGCAGAGTAACTCTCCCACTGAGCAGTCAAAACTGTGGGTCTCCAGGTGTCGTGAGAAATATCGATCCAGGGTGCGCAACAGTAGAGGAAAATCAGTCCTGAACATGCCGAATAAGTACAAGTAGGGAATGAACAGCCACAGCCGTGCTGCAGCTCTTTGTCACAGTGGGAAGGAAGATTGAAACGAATAGTAAATAATTATTCTGACCTGGAAGCGGATGTGAGGGCGCAGCTGGAAGTGCTCAGCGTACAGGTGGAAATACTCCAGCAGGCGCGAGTTGTGCATGTAGTTGGGGAACTGTGCCGGCACAGGAAAGTCGCTATAGGACATTATCTCTTTGGAAGTGTTGACAATGACAGACCGATATATGTTGGCCTGGCCAGCCTCAGGCTTCTCCTGAGAGATAGAGGCAATGAGGGGGTAAAGTAATTAAATTGGGCAGCGGGTCATCATTGCAATGTGTACCTTGAAAAGAGGCCAGAGAAGGCGGAAAACGTGAAATTTAGCTCTCTCCTTGAACCATTCATCTGAAGTCATCATCTTGACCTTACAGTACACAGTACATGTAAAACTATAATTTTCTTCTGCTGAAACTGATTTTAACTGAAAAGGTTAAAAACTCCAGCCTTGACCAGCGCAGTCCTAAAGTCCTAAAAATTAGCATCTTAGTACATTCAGTAGGTGAAAACATGCTGGCACTACCAAGGATAATTAACAGTATGATCAAGAAGAACTACTTAGACTACTGTCCAAGTTAGAAGTTATGCACACAGAAATTTCCACTCGTTCGCTGGCAGTTGTCCTGCTGTATAACCAGTATCTCGTTCTCAGCACTGAAATAAAAGCTGTTCTCACCTTGAACCTCCACAGACCCCCGATGTCATCGCTGCTCTCGAAGCAGACTGGCTCCAGACCTTCGTCCAGACAGCACTTGATACAGGCCAGCCCAGAACACCCAGCCCCGATCACAGCAACACGACACGCCATCTCAGCTGTGCGGAGAAGACAGGTGGCCACAGAGAGGGAGGGGGGGGAGTTACTCTGAATTAAGTCAAACTGCACAGACTGAGGGACACTCCTGTGAGCGGAGCACAGGTACTGTGCACATCCTGCCCTTTGATACTTCTCTCACCTGAGCCTCTCATCCAGCTGTTTCCTAAACCAGATAATACAAATACACGACACTCAACAAACATTCTATTTCGAGTAAAACATGAGTCGCATGCTCCATTTTAGAGTTTACAAGAGGTACTTAAATGGATAAGAGAGCTTATAAATGGATAAGAAGACAAAGTTTATATACGTTAATACGGTTCTGAAGTAACAGAGATGGAATGAGTTACCTTCTTTGAGCAGTGTGTTTTTTATCATAGGCAGTTTAGGTTATTGTCACATTCCTGCTGCTCTCTTAATGCTCGACATATTCCCCATTTATAAAACATTACAAACATTAAAAGTTCATTCAGACGCATATTCCCTAAGAAAATGTTTCTTACCCTCTTGATGTATTAAAACTTTGTAGAACAAGTTTTGTGTGGCACCACTTCTCTCGTCTCCTTGCCCAGACTGTTGAATGGCGGTGACTGGGTGTCTTCCTCTGATTTCCCTTTTCGCGACCTCACCGTCTCTGCTGTCCTGCCTCTAAACTCCCTGCATTTATCCTTTTCAAAAACTGTGACAGCCTCTGGTCCCTGTTAATTGGTTGCGAGTACAGTATGTAAGTCATGACCTGGCAATGAGCCTGCCAATAAGTTACACAAGCGCCCCACACCTAAAGCCAATTTCTTTTCACCACGGCTTCAATCGATAACCCCTCCCTGTCACTCCTATTACTACCCCTGTCTGAATTCATACGAGGCTTACATACTGTATGTACATCATATTACACAAAATGCTTCAAACGTAATAGAATTGACTTTAAGTATAAGTCTACGCATTAGCACGTTACAAAAACTTGTTCTATATAATTTTCATAACAAAAACTGTGAGGAGCCTGGGAGGGGCCATCGGGGGCCATTGCTATAACTTCTTGTTCCTGCTGATGGTTCCTCCCAGGCTCCGTATTTTCCAGCTCCAGTGCGACAACTTTCATCCCAGAGCCTGGAAATGTAAGTTGCATAGACCGCTCGACCCATGCACTGCTGCCTAAATGAAATTAATATTCTTGCCAAACAGGAAAGTCTTGTCTGACTTTCACCGTGTAAAGTCTGAGCATACATCAGATTGAGTCATAAAAAAGGAAAATGTCTTACTCTGTGTACAAGAAAAGATTTGGCAATTTCGGACAAAATCCTACCTGTCTACACTGATCTCCTCAGATCTCAGAAGCTACACAATGCTGGTCCTGGTCAGTACTGTACTGTTGGCCGCCTAGGAAAATCAAATTACTATTGAAAGTGGTGTCAGACCAGTAGGTCTTTACCATAATTTTCAAACCAACGCCCCTGTATGGTGACTGAGGTCACTGCTGTAGGAAGTGCTAGCAAGCAGATTCCTTTGAATCTGATGTGATACCAAGGTCCTGACCACTTGGACATTAAAGATCCCCCTAACATTGCAAGAGCATGTTTGTTAACCCTAGTGTCCTAATTAAGCAGGTCTTCTGGTTAAATTCTGCTCTTGGGTCTTCAATATCTAGCCTCCCCGAGTTTCCCCCCTCAATTCAGCTGCTAAAGTAATGTCTTCATTACCTTATGCCACCATGTGTCACTCAGCAGAGGGTTGTACTTTAGTGGAAGAGGAAGTGTTTTGTTTAAAAAGAGAAAACCCTTTGTGATCCTCTCGCATGGCCAGCAATACAACAGATGTAAGAATTACTGATATCTGCCTTTTTCCACAGGAAACTACAAGACATCTCTCTTTCCTACCATTGATGTTGGCACAGGTTCAGAGTGCAGGAGCTTCCAGGTGAGGACCAGAGCACACGGTGAGCAATCGCCAATTGTGTTAATTGCTCCTGAAGGCACATTTCTGAACGTGCAGAGGGTAACAGACACCTGAACAAAACCGACCCTCAAATGCTCTGAGAAATATTACAAGACAGCAGGGTTAACATAGGGGCAAACAGATACAGAGTTAAAGTAGGACTAATTGAAAAGTCTATGGATTACACACTACCTACTGTCATGTGATGCACGACACTGTTCTTCTGGTCACGGGTGACCTAGATGGAATCATTTCTTAACATGCAGTTTTACTGGTCCAGTAGATTGTAAGAGGGGTCTGTGTTTGATGGGGTCAGCAGGGAATCTGTTTAAACTCCTCTCCGATGACCCGCGTCATCACATCTCGCTCAGCCCCAGGTGAGGGTGCCATGGGAGCACCTCCACTAGCACCTCAATATAGAAGTATTTACCTCTTCCCCCTTCGCTGTGAAGCTGTACTGGTAAAACATATTCTTAACCTTTAGAGACAGCGTTTTTTATAGATCATTCATCTCCATACATTAGAGTCATTCCAAAGGCACACGTTTGCTCAACTATGACTTTTATACAGGCTGCTTTGTTTTGCAATTCAGTGAAACCCGCTTGTGAGAAGAATGTAAGGGGAGACTGGGCTCTGCACCCCAGGGGTCACCAGTCTGAGCCTGTCTGAACTGGGGGAAGATGACTGTCCAGGCACTGACAGTTTCTGATCTAAGCTAGTTTACGTTAGGACATTTTCACACAACATTACAAGAAAAGTTTTTT